CCAGACCCGCTGTCGCTTTGTGCCCGGGGTATGGGCAGGCCAGGCCGCCTCAGCCACCGTTCTCTTTGTGCCTGTTGTCAGCGCTGCTCCGGCCCGTGGTGCCGTGGCCTTGGCCGGGGGGTGGCGAGAGGGTTCTGGTGTTTCAGCGCAGGGTTTCTTGCCCTTTCTTGTCTGCTGGGCTAGGTCCCGGGCTGTTCCCGGTGTGCTGTGGTCTGAAAAGGTGGTTTGGCATGTTTATGCTGGTAGCCCTCCTGCTATAGCTTGTCCTATTGAACGTTCACCCCTTTGTATCGAGTTGGTAAAGGCTGCACGGATTCCTCTGTGCGGTATCCACACGAATCCGAGTGGTTGTCATGTATCTGATAATACATGCCATTTGCCTTGGGGTGTATTTCAGCGCATGTCAGGGATGGGGTGCATACAACTGTTCAGTGTACCTGTGGGGTCTGCAGGCACCGTGCTCTTCTCTGGATATTCTTGTTCAACAGTTGAGCAGAGTGGTCCAAGTGTGTTTTACAGCTGTGCTTCGTGTAGCTTCTATTCTGATGCAAGACCTTTTCCACTTGGCGAAACGCCCTGGCTTCTGATGCCGGTACTGCATGCTGCGGGGCACGATCGTGTTTCTCACTTCCTCACAGTTGGGTTTTTTCTTTCTTCTGCCCCCCCTTCATTTGTGCTTTCTGTTCATCTTCTCATGCTGCTCATCAAAACCAGTTTTTTCGTCAACTTTGAACTCCAAACGCATCCATAATTCTCAGCTTCATGCAGCCCTACTCCAGGTAATCTCCCACTCCTCAGCTAACATGATGTGGCCTCACTGGCACAGTTTGAGGGGGTTTCTCCTCATGGAGGAGGAAACCCTTCGGATAAATCTGATTCATATTTTCCCACCTAAAAGAGGTAAAAGAAGAACCTCCCATTAGTGGCGTGTCGTTCTTCACGCAGAACAGTAACTGTCTGATACAGGGCAGATGGGAGCTTCATTTCTTTACAGTTTTCATTTCAGGAGTGCCTGGATAATCTCCAAAAATGTGGGAGCCTGTGATAGAATTAGCTGCTGTGCCTTGCAGGTGGGCCAGGGGCCAGGATGTCACAGACCAGTTATATCTGGGGAGTTAAGCAAGTTGTAATTTTAAGTGGCTCAGTTGAGCTGAGTTTCTGTCAGTTCTTTTTCTTGCACAGAGAAGTATGTGTCTCTTTTATTTGCAACATCTTAAAGAATATTAACACAAAAGGTAATATGTAACAGTGTTGATGATAGCTGGTAAAATGCCCAGAGCTGTGAAGCTGCTGTTCATCCCTTATCTGGGATGGAGAGTATTGACTCTTCCTAAAGACTTGGGTTTTGGTAGATACAGAAAATGGTCTCCTGGCTTTGCTTAGACTTGAGAAGTAGCTATGTACTATCTGAGGAGTCTGCTGAAAGAAATGCCTCTCTGTTTAATGTGACACATCCAGAGTGCAGACCCTTTCCAAAATAAATTTAGAATAAATCCATGACTCAATATTTGTGTCTGCAAGCAGCTTGAAATAACACCACCCTTGAGTAAACCATCCTTGCATTCATAGAATCATGGAATCCCAGGCTGGTTTGGGTTGGAAGGGACCTTAAAGCTCATCCAGCTCCAACCCCTGCCATGGGCAGGCACACCTTCCACTAGAGCAGGTTGCTCCAAGCCCCTGTGTCCAACCTGGCCTTGAACACTGCCAGGGATGGGGCAGCCACAGCTTCTCTGGGCACCCTGTGCCAGCGCCTCAGCACCCTGACAGGGAAGAGCTTCTGCCTGTTCTCCTGTTATATTTAATATATTTATTATAACATTCTCCTCTTGATATTTAATAAGCATATTTTGATTAAGTTTTACAGTATGCTTTTATTGCTGGGTGGTGCAGCAGTGTCAAGGCTACTTACATCTTCAGTTTGCTACGGAGTTAAGTGATAAAAGAATCTGTATTTGCTAATTAGAGTTTGTCATTATAATCTGTGATCTTCCTTTGGGCCTTGTACCTTTTGCCAGTTTATAAGCGTGATGCTCTGCAAGACGAGGAACTCGAGCTTTGAGAACTCATGCCCTTGCTAAACCAGTTGTGGTTTCCTTGCTGTGCTGCTCCCTGTGCTTGGTGCTGTGAGGAGAGCTTGCTTGAACAGCTTTTAGAATACCAACTCAGTCTCCTTTCCCTGGGTCATATCTTTACATTGAATGAGGTGAAGGCACAGGAGGAACTGCAAGTGTGTTTGTCCCACGAAATTCTACTCTCAGATTATCTTTAGATGTTACCAGGACAAGGTTATGGATTCAGGGGAAATCACTGAGTTCTACTATAGAAAATACAGGGCGCCATAATGATCATTAGTATCTGACATACTGTTACTTTCCATCTGTTTTTTGATGGTCTTAAAATGCTGCTCACTGAGTGCTTTATGCGTGAGTCTATGTTAAAGTAGAAAACAATACTTACTTAAAGTTAGTACGTTCATTTATACTTCATACAAGCCTGACTGAACTGCACAAGAGTTGAAAAACCTGTAATCCTGGCAATAAACCCACTTCAATTCTGTCCTTTGTTTCTGCTGCAGTATTCTTAGTGCTAATAATGAACTTTCTTTCTTCTTTCCCCCCAGATCTATAGCAGCACCCCTGAAGTCAATAATGCTCTCCAAGCTCACCCGCTCCCAGAGCGTCGCTGTTCTCTGTCGAGGTGTTCACGCTTCGCTCAGTTCGGCCACCTCTGTTGCTACTAAAAAAACCATTCAAGGACCTCCATCCTCTGAGTTCATATTTGAACGTGAGGCGAAATATGGTGCCCACAATTATCACCCACTCCCTGTTGCTCTGGAAAAAGGAAAAGGTATTTTATTTAAGCTTCTCCTTGGGTGGTGTTGATGGGATGAGTGTGTGTAGATGGGATGGGATCATGGCATAACGATGTTGACCTACTCAATTTCTGAACCTTTGGGGTTTTTTGGGGGGTGGGATGGGATTGAGATAGTTGATGAAATAAAGAGAGCTACTTGCTGGATAGAGAAATGGATCATTATGCATAAAGCTGCCTGATGAAGATGTACTCTCCAAAATAACTTATCTAAATAGATGTCTAAGTTCCAATGATCTTCATAATTCACAATAACCCAGCAAGAAAGTTTCAAGCAACTTTGTTTATTCTATTACCTTGTGTGGAGTGGTTTAATGTTCCTATGAACATGAAAAGGTGCAGTGGAACCCTGTTCAAGACCTTGTGTACTGTTCCTGATCTGATCTTTAGTTATGTTTAAGGGTCTTTTGTGCTCTGCAGGTTAAATTCTATGAGTTTATACTGAAATGCTATCGCCATAGTGATCCAATAGTTTTTATCAGTACGCATTTTGACAGCTCAGAGCTGACCATCCCTGAATTTTTGAGACTTCTGGGATTCTGTTGGTTTTGTTCTTTCTTTTATGACCTCCAGTTCTTATTAATTCTCTTACAAAAGTATTCTTTATCTACATTTTTGGACTCAAAACAGGGACTTGGAGGGGAAGTAATGTCAGAGTATTACTTACTAAGACAGTGGAATTTACATGGAAAATGCTTCTTTTCTTGATTCCTCCATGGGCATTTATTTGTACTGTGGTAATTTGTGCTCAAGTTCTCATTGCCAATTGATTATTTTCTAGAGGGTATTTCAGGTATGCCCTAAGGAATAGCAAGAATACCATTTGTATTTGACCAGGTTGTGTTGCAGCTCTTAGCTTATACCATTTAGTATTACCTCCTGTCTTCTTTTATTATGTGTATTGACCATACCTTTGTTTTCCTAGGTATTTACGTGTGGGATGTTGAAGGTAGAAAGTATTTTGACTTTCTGAGTGCTTACAGTGCTGTTAATCAAGGCCACTGTCACCCAAAGATCGTGAATGCTCTGAAAACTCAGTCTGAAAAACTGACCCTGACCTCCAGAGCATTCTACAATGATGTGCTTGGCGAATATGAGGAGTTTGTCACCAAAATGTTCAATTACAACAAAGTTCTTCCAATGAACACAGGTAAAAAGATAACTTTATTTCCATTTTATTTCTGGTCTGTGAGAGTCAATGGTTTTGTAACACTTAGTGTACTGCATCAATGGCCTGTATGAGTGTGATAATAGTCCTACTTTTTGTTTTAGGAGTGGAAGCTGGAGAAACGGCCTGTAAGCTGGCTCGGAAGTGGGCATACATTGTGAAAGGAATTCCAAAGTACAAAGCAAAAATTATTTTTGCAGGTATGTAAAGTGTGTTATGAGTGGAGGTACTGAGGAGGAAGAGAGCTCTAGCCGCTGCATATAGCACTCTTTTCTCCTATAGCTGTAGTGAGTACTTTGCAGTATTCTTAATGTTTCAGTTTTGTCACTGAATCAAGTCTGTTGAAGGTCTCTGTAACCTTTTGATAACGCAAGCAAAGTTCTCAACCTGTTAACAGGTTTTGTTGTACTCATGTATCTACAGTTGGTGCTTCTGTTGTGGTTACAACAGTCTTTGCAGGACCTCGATTCTCCAAGCGCCTCCTTCTAAACTGTGAAGTTCAGTCTTAAATATATTCTGACATTCTGCCTAAACTTCTATTTGATTTTAACCTTAAATAGTTACAATGAATTATAAACTTTTGGTTTTTTTTTGATGTAATGTCCTTAAAGAAACACATGTGATCTTAACAGAAGTGACTGTAAAAGCAGAAGATGTGAGTAAAATTCCTATGACAAATCAGTTTCAGATCCTCTCCCTTGTGTTGTGGAGGTTTATGTATCGAGAGGCAATGAAGGTAGTTGTGCTGTGTCAGGAACTGTTGATAATGTTTGGTTTTGCAAGGGAAATGCAACAATGAACTCAAATCCAGGAAAGAAACTATTGTTAGTAAGGTGGTTTATAAAGCTTTATAAACAGTAATTGAATGTATAAAGTGGACCTTATTTGTACTACTCACCAATTTTTGACAACTAAGAAGGTTGAGTGCCTGCTGGAAATCACATGGAAAGTGCATTCAGTGCCCCATGCTCTTTTAACTGCTGCTTGGGTGTTACAGTGCACTATGCTTTTATTCCAGATTAGTGAATTCACTCTTCAAATTGCTGATACCCCTCTTACAGATCCCACATTAGGGTTAAGCCTGTTTCCTTGTTAGGCTTTCCCTTTTTTCAATCTTAAGGTCTTCCCAAAGTTGGCATTAAACCCAGTAAAGCCATATTGTAGTCTTGATCATACAATGACAGTAAAAGCAATACTGCTAAAATAGATATGGGGCCCTGGATAGTCCTGATTATACATTTGGTGCATTTCCTCCCTTTATCTGCCTGCTCTGCTTGGCTTTGTAAGAGGGAGAAGTTACCTGCTCTGAACAGACTCTTCTACTTCATTAGGGAAATAAATAAATGTCTAATTCAAATAACTTGTATTTGGTATTTTTGGTTATAGGTGAAGCATTTTTGTCAATTCTGATGTTGTTCAGTGGTTCTGCACTTTATAAAACCTTCCAGATTAAAGCTTAATACTTAAATATTGACTTCTTTTAATTGGTCCAGCTGCAAATACTGGTTTTGACTTTTGGTAGCTATAGTAGCTGAACCATAGACTGTGACTAGGCAGCACTTTTAAATTGCAATTCATAGTTAAATATTACATTATGGTTTCTAGGATCATTTAGATGAGGTTGTTCTATGATTCTATTTTATGATTCTTTTATTTCTTCTGGGAATTCTTTGAACAAATGCATTTCTCCCTCCTTTCATTTGTATTTTATTTTGCTTTTCAGACAATTAACTTTTAGTAAGTGCTTTCTCATCTTGATAAACTGGATATGCTCTCCATTTTTATGATCCCACTCCCTTAACCACAATATGTCATTATGTGCCAAGTAGCTAGGAAAAAAAACCCCAGTAATCCTCTTGTCAAAGCCAGCATTTTGGCAGGAAAAAAGCTCTCTTGGGTAGCTCAGGTCAGAACAAAATATGCCTTTAAACATCAGTCTAGAGAACTTGATGTAGATTCTGTGCTTGATAGGGAGCCAGCACAGAGGCTGGAGTGCTGCTAAGGTGGAGAGAGCCTCCCATCAGCAGTCAGCCTGCTCTGCTTTGAGTAATGCAGTCTTCAGGGCTTTGCTTCAGGATGCAGAGGGTTGCACTAACATAATCTTGAGGTGACAAGCACGTGACTGAGCACAGCTTGGCAGGGATTGCTCCCTGAGGAGACATTGCTGCGGTGAATGCTGTAATGCTGTTTACCCTGGCCATGAGACAGAGGGGACGCCTAGAGCTGGCTGCTTCAGTGACAAGTGACTTCAGATTTCCTGCAGATTGAGAACATCCTCTGCCCCTGGCATCACAGCTACACAGAGAAACAGGGGGGGAAAGAAAAGACTTGGAATGCTGTGAAGGTGTTGAACCCTTAATCTTGTTACTCGCCGTCTTACTGATTAGCTGAGGGGATGTTGATTTAACTGAAATATTACATGGATATATCATAGTCTTGCTGGTAGTTGGTTCCTAGACATTTTAACTCATGTTTCTATATGAAACAGCACAATGTCACAATAATTTTACAAATAAATGGGTTCTCCTGGAACTTTGAAATGCACAGAAATCTAGTTTTTGACTTGGGCTTACTGGCAGCTTTATTTTTAGTAGCTAAATTCTGGGTGATTGTTACTTTTGTCTTCTGCATTTAAGGAGGAGTATTTATGTAAAAGCTCTACATTTTCCTTAAAAAGATGTTATTTCCTGACTTATTTTCAAATTTTCAGGCTACTAACGAAGCTTATGGAAATTATTATGTCTGCTTGCCAAGTCTTCTAGTGTAATTTACTTTTGGTTTTGATACAGCAACACAATGTATGGCATCAATGTAAAATGCTGACAATTAGCAGAAGGATGCTAATACACTAATGTTAGACAACTCTTAAAACACATTACCAAATGGAAAGTGTGATGTCCTGTACACTGTTCTGGCTCTTAGTTTTGTAACAAGTTCTCCCTTTTATTCTCCTGTAGCTGGCAACTTCTGGGGCAGAACAATGTCTGCTATCTCTAGTTCTACGGACCCATCCAGCTATGATGGATTTGGACCCTTCATGCCAGGTTTCGAAGTGATCCCGTACAATGACCTACCAGCTCTTGAGGTATTTGATCATTTTTGTTCTTTTGTAAGCAATCATTTTACAGCATCTCACTGGTGAATAGCAAGCAGGAAAATCAGGAGTTTAGCCTTTGAAATGTGCTTTGACACCAAGATATACATATCTAGCTATACATAAGAAATATACGTATAGGAAATGCATGTCAATTCTGCCTTCAGTTTTGCTTTAGGATGTAAAAGGAAAGCCACACAACCTGTTTCATTTCCTGTATAAGATGTTCAAGGTATAAATGAAGAACAGCAGATAAAACTTAAGGGAATTCAGATCAGTAGCATACAATCTGAAGTCAGGACTTGGATTCTGAAACTAGTATCTTTACCTACCTACTTTCCAACCCTCATAATTTGGGCTAAAGTATTAAAGGGTAGATGCAGTGGTAGGACAAGGGGTAATGGCTTTAAACTTAAACAGGGGAACTTTAGGTTAGATATAAGGAAGAAGTTCTTCACAGTGAGGGTGGTGAGGCACTGGAATAGGTTGCCCAAGGAAGTTGTGAATGCTCCATCCCTGGAGGTGTTCAAGGCCAGGCTGGACAGAGCCTTGGGCGACATAGTTTAGTGTGTGGTGTCCTTGCTCATGGCAGGGGGGTTGGAACTAGATGATCTTAAGGTCCTTTCCAACCCTAAGTATTCTATGATTCTATGATGCTTGATGGCAGCCACAGGATGCTGGGCTTGGAATCCAGGAGGCAAGAGGGTTCCAGTCAAACAAAGGTAGTCCTGAAGCTCTAGGAGCATTGGCATTGCCACTTTTCCATCATCTGGGTAACAGAACCCCAGACTGGTTTGTGTTGGAAGGGACCTTAAAACTCATCCAGCTCCAACCCCTGCCATGGGCAGGGACACCTTCCACTAGAGCAGGTTGCTCCAAGCCCCTGTGTCCAACCTGGCCTTGAACACTGCCAGGGATGGGGCAGCCACAGCTTCTCTGGGCACCCTGTGCCAGCGCCTCAGCACACTCATAGTGAAGACTTTTTCCCTAACATCTCATCTATATCTACCCATTTTTCAGCTTAATGCCATTCCCCCTTGTCTCCATGAGTGATGAGTCCTCTGTGCTTGTTGGGTCTGCTTAGTACAAGTGATTTGGCTGTGGAGATCAGAGGGTTTAGGACAGAGATGCTTGCCTCCTTAAAGTTTGGTTAGGGGAAACAAAGGTCTCTCAGTGTGTTACAGTTGCAGTGTGGAAAAGCTTACTGAGATTTGAACCTACATAAAGCTGCCCATTGTGAAAGCCCTGTAAGTATTTAGTGGCTTTCAGACAACTTTATCAAGGCTTTGAATAACATGCTCTGGAGACCTGAAACTGAGATCTGCGTCTGTTAGAGTGATAACTGAATTCATTCTATTTATGGGGCCATACTGAGAAATTATGTAGTAAATTCATGCTGGAGTCATTATATCTTTTGAGTCTCATGGACTTCTAGACCTTTTAGAACTTGATGGTGCAAGAATACAGCTGTGGACTTTGCTTTAAGGTGACAAAACTGTTCTGGAGACACTGATCTTTTTTGTTTGAGGGAAGTGTAAGGCAACTGTTTGTCTTGCATGGGGTAATGCCAAGCTGGCTGTATTTCTGAGGTAGTTTATGAACTGATCCGATAATCTGCTTGTCTGAGTTTGCAATTTTTAAGCTCTGTAACTTTCCAAGCAAGCACAGCAGCTGATTTTTTCAAGGCAAATATAACACAGGCTTTTGTGTTGGAACTGGAATGGCACTCAGGGATAACTCCTGGTATGGATACTATTATGAGTTGAGGCAGAACTCTAGGGTTAGAGCCGGGTTCTGCTACATGTACTCCTCTCCACGTCATCTAAATTTGATGTAATAAGCTTTTTCTTCTTTTGTTTCCTATCCATATGTCCATTTTTACAGCGGGCTCTTCAAGATCCCAACGTGGCAGCTTTCATGGTTGAACCCATTCAAGGTGAAGCAGGTGTGGTTATTCCTGACAAAGGTTATCTCACAGGAGTGCGGGACCTCTGCACAAAACACAATGTAAGGAATTATGTATAACAAGGTGGCTTAAACGTTACAGACTGTGTTTACTGGTGTGTCTTGTAAGGTCATCCTCTTATGCAAGGTACAGGACTTCATGTCCTATTCAGTATTTCCTTTTCTTTCAGTGGAATAGAGCAGGGATACTTCTTTCCTTACCAGGAAGTACTTCTTAGCAGTGCACATTTTTCTTGCGGCTGTCACTGACTGAAGTTTCTTATGAAGGGGCTTGAAATTGCATTTATTTTATATTAATTTAACTTTTCATTTCTTTTTCACATTCTAAGTTTCTTGGGCC